ATCGCCCTGATGATGGAGGCAGTATGACCTCTGAAACGTTGGTAAACATCGACCAGACTACACAGCACAACAACCCAGAAGACAGAAATCTTCATACTCATCGCCCTGATGATGGAGGCTGTATGACCTCTGAAACGTTGGTAAACATCGACCAGACTATACAGCGCAACAACCCAGAAGACAGAAATCTTCTCTTAAGTTATTGTTATTTTTATATTAATGTTTGCATTTTGTTGTAGAAGATGCAGACTTTTGTCATCCCTTAGAATTCAGTTTTGCATTAGAAGTGCAGTATGGCTGGATTTAACTGGCTTATCATATGGTTCAGTAACACTTACAAATTTTCAGTTTTCAGAAAATTTCTTGCCTAGCTCTGTGAATTATTTTCTCAAGAACTGTGCTGTATGGAGTGAATTTGTATAATATAAACATTCCACCCTTATTTTTGTAGCTTTTAAAAGCACGATTTGAAGCTTTCATGGCAACCAAGTAGATACTTTTAAAAGCATTTTGTATCATGTAGAACCAGTGATTTTGTCTGTTCTTCATGACGGTGAATTGGTTCGCAGGAACAGCGCATTGTGCCGACATGTACCCCAGTTTGTCATCAGATCTGCCGCAGCTCGTGGCAGCCAGGAAAAAGATTAGTGACCTAATTGGACAGTGGTTGGGTGATGATTAAATTAGTATAACATAAGTGTAATGAAAATGTCAATACATTAGATCTCATTAATGCTTGTTAATTTACAAACATAAATTTTGTAACAAATAGAAAATAAAGGAAATTTATTGATTCCCAAAAGTTTTGTAGTTGATTCATTATGTTAATATCAGTTTTGATGTTATAAATTTTTGAGCTATATTTGATACACGCACCATTTTGGGAGTTGGCTGTATTTCTTAGTTCTTAGGTGTGTATACTGACAGATTTGTTATACTTTTATACTTTTAACAGTAATTTAATCCTGACCATTGCCACTGATGTTAACATGTACTGCCAACACAGCCATGTGGCGGTCCTTTAAATTACAAATCCCGCTGGCTTATACAACCAAGTGCTGGGATTCATTGCATTCTCTGAACCAAATATTGCAAGGTAAATCTTATTTTATGTTACATGTGTTTTGTGAGATGCTCTTTGGTTCTGAAGCTTCCCACCGCCTAAATTTCATCCTTTTCCCAATTTTATTGTCATATTCATTGATGTAATTAAATATCAACCGCCACGGTGGTCTAGCGGTTAGAACGCTGGCCTTGTAATCCTGGGATCCCGGGTTTGATTCCCAGCAGTGCCCGGATTTATAACTTGTGTTGGGCAAGGCTTCCCTGGTTTGTCCGTGGCATCCCATACTCCATACACACAGAAGAAGGCAGTGGCAAACCACTTCTGTATCACCTGCCTAAAAAACATATGAACGGGTCCCAGTCCGAGAAATGACGGAAGGATCCTGCTCATAATGTCGCCAACCTCCTGTAAAGGAGACAGCGTAATAAAGAAGAGTTAAATCTCATCTTTGTATTGTATTTTGGTGTTCCTACTCGTGGATGCCATTCACGTTCAGCATAATTACAGAATGAATCGCCAAATCACAATGACAGAAGAAAGTGTGCTATTTTTGGGCTGCTATGGCTGAGTTATCAATTTACCATGTCCTCGGGTATGAAACCACAGGTTCTGGCTGGAGGTGAGTCGTCAGAAATGTAAAATATTATGTAGGACTTTGGGTATTTATGGCAGTGATTATGAAGATGGCAGTCTTCTGGGTCATAGCAGTGTATTTTGTTTGTTTTCACAAATATTTTACTTAAACTGAAGTTGTAATTTGATTTTATGTTAGTCAAGACATGCCACATTAATAAACTAAAATTCCAGGAAGATACTAATAGAATAACCTCTGTATGTCATTCCATGCAGAAACTGGTAAATTCTTGTTGGAAATTTTAAATGAAAACAGTTCCATGATATCAGCAAAACTAGAGTTAGATGAAACAACTAACAAGTCATTTTTTGTAATACTTTCAGCAGACATTATTTGAGAATTTTTCTAACAGTGCTAGTACTTGACTGTGTCAGTCTGTCAGTAAGTAGCAACACCGACCAGTGTGATAAACATTGTATTTAAATGCAAAACTAAATTTTACAGATGAATTTTTGTTCAGACAGTAGAATCATGGTTACATCTTTATTGAGTAGATTAAACTTTGTTTACAAGTGTCAGCTGTTGAGATTATATTTTATGGTATGTGGGTTTTATTTGGGGTAAAGTCATTGGATGGTCAAAACTACTACATAAAAAGGGAATTCTATGGTTTGTACTCTTTGCCAGATACAAAGACGAGAAAATTAAGGAGGATGAGATGGGTGGGGCATGTTCACGAAATTTTGGTTGGGAAGCCTGAAGGGAAGTGACTGCACAGAAGACCTACGTGTTTTGGTGACGTTAAAATGGATCTTAGGGAAACAGGATTTGGTTGTATGCATAGGATGACGACTGGTGGTGGGACCTTGTGGACACGGTAATCAATGTTCTGGTTCCATAAAAGTCAGAAAATTTCTTGGCTTTCTGAATATATTGTTAGCTTCTCACGAAAGACTCTGCCCCATGAAATCAGTTAGTTGAACAGAACCATCTCTAAAGTTTCATTAAGCACACGCCATGGAGACATTGTGAAGGTGGAATTGTGGCTCCGTAGTGTCAACTTCTGCATTAGAAGAAGGTGAGTGGTCATCTTTGCCATTTTTGTGTTTACTGCCCCATGACTAGTGTTATGGACATTAAAAAGTTTCGACTTCAGCATGTAGCATGGCTGGGCTGATATTTTTCGTTGGTGTAAGTTGAAATTGTCGGAAAATATATACGATATAAATAATTGTCTACGGAATATCAATGGTCCTATCCAATCAGTCTTAAAATAAATATTACAGAAGTAGTCTGTGAAAATGTCAACCGAATGAAACTGTCTTAGGTTTATATTGAAAGTCGTTTTTACTGTTGACGATGATGAAGTCAAAGTTCTACGACAACGAACTTTCTTAGCTGAGCCAGCTTAGTCAGCTGAGTATTGCAACCGATATCACAATTGTTCTTGTACAGCACGCCACTGTTTTCTCTGGCATGCAATGTGTGATGCACGCTGCTGATACCATATGACGCCTCTCTCATCCCTGATATTGACACCACAATACACTTTGCGAGCCTCTCCACAAAATATCATCTTGCACTGGAAGCACACCGGACGTTTGTCAAGGCGGGGGAGAAATCAACCGTGTCAGTTCCATTGAATTAAACGTGTGTTCGGGGGCTTTCTATCTTTCCTTTCTCAACTGAACGTCAAAATCATCGCACTCTGAGGTTTCGTACGTTTCCTGATTTCAAACGAGAATTTCTGCCTTATGAAGCCCATCTTCCTTTAAATGCTTCTGTATGTGTTCAGGCTAGCAAGAACTCCAGTTATTGGCGCACAGTGTCCATTGTCTGACGTATATTTTATATGCAATGAAAGGTACTGTGTGACATATCAAGTGATATATCTATCAGTTATGCTTCACACAATGAACATTGTCTAATATATTGTCACAAACCTTAGAGAATAATATATTAATCAATTCCTTTACACGATTTCCATCAGTGTACGAGTAGTTTCCGAATGCGTTAAGTTTGCTCGATGTAACATCCAAAGTTAATTTCGTCACCATTGTTTAGTTGTCGATGTGTAGAAGAAGGCTTTTCCAAAATTTGTGATTATGTTTATGATCTACCTCCACACAAATTTTACATGATTATGTCCAACGGTTAATTAGTTATCGCCATCAGACCAAAATCTTAAAATAAGCTGAAGATAGTTTATAGTTTTTCATATTAAGAGGAAAACGAAGAGAAAGTAGGCATTTAAGTTGAATTTATCTGGCTCAGGACTGGGATCGGTGGTGGGCTTTTGTGAACACGGTAATAAACCTGGTTCCATAAAAGGCGGAGAATTTCTTGATTAGCTGAGCGACTGTTAGTTTCTAAGAAAAAGGACTACTCCACTGAGGTCAGCAGTAGCAATGGCAGTAGTAATAGTAGTAGTAGTAGTAGTGGTAGTAGTAGTAGTAGTAGTAGTAGTAGTGGTAGTAATGGTGCCTGCGTTGCTTTACACCAATCAAAATGTTCAGTTAAAAAGAGAAGGTCGTGAGAGTTTCATCCCACATATTTCGTTGTTTTCTTCTCAAGAGATAATCTTAACAACTGACAGTTGTGAATTCGCGAAATTGAGGTAGACAGGAGATGAAGCGAAATAACGCTGGGGAAATCTACTCTGCCGCTATAAATCCTTCATGGGTTGGACTCCTTGAACCCAGAGTCGGAGGGACATCAGGACATCCACAGCGCAATCAATACCAGTGCTACGTTAACAGTTCAGATAATGCACTTTGACGAGCTGCAGCCCCTATTTGTGTATGAATTCATAGTCGAAGCTTGGCGTGTTAAATGTGGGGGAGTATTCTTGGAAACTGGGAATACTGAGATGTTTAAAATCGAATCTTATTCCTAAGGATGTAGGCCGCTAGTACGCGAACTCATTCCATTTGCATTGGGACTCGTTTTTGGTATGAACGATGTAGAACCGTACGGTACACCATCGAAGGTAAGATTTATAGGCCGACTTACTTGTCAGCTAGTTAGTTCGTTAAGGCGTGTTAAAAATAGGTGGGGCTTGTCTATATCAGAGAAGAGGGTTAAATCCTGATGAAGTGGCCTTGTTCTTTAGGAAGAATATCGACACTTTTCTTTAATAACTCCATGGGGCTTCAGAAGTAAATAGATGCTCCTGAGGCGCACGAGTTAAGTCCTAAATCTGATGTCCTATTCCTTTAATATTATCTCATTCCCAGGTCTCCCAAGTGGTGTCTTCCCTTCAGGTTCTCCGACCAAATCTCCGTGTGCATTTCTCATTTGTAACATGCGCACTGCATGCCCCACCCATCTGCATTAAGTTTTGTCCCCAGCCTGTTTCTAATCTGTAGACACTTCATGATTACTAGTGATACTCTGAGAGACTGTGATGTTGGTTGACGCGAACTTAATTGTGTAATCTGTTTGCTGCTGCAATGTCTTCGTCACATCTAAGGAAATCTTACTGTGCAGTGTATAACAGATCGGTTTCACTGCTGAAATTGAGATACCAATCTTCCTCGCTAGACGGGGTGTGGCCACCCCACCCTCATTTGAACACAGGCCCTATACTGATATTAGTGTGGAAGGTATGTGATAACTTACAATCACTGAGCATTCTGCCCCCTAAATGGAAGATGTGATACAACCCTATCTTACGGTAAGAGGATACTGAATGTGTAGGCTATATATAATCACATTTTATAATGTGACATTCGTCCGTAGAAGTTACAGAAGGTAGTTTGTTGTTTCCGCAATATTATATTTCACTCTTACACTTAGGGTCAGTGGGATTGGTGTGGATGTGCTGACGATAGGAGTTACTAATTGGAAGCTAATGAACACAACCCTTGAGACTGTTGCTCTCTGACAGTAGTATTATGTTCTAAGGTATATGAGACTAAAGTTTGTTTGCAAGTCCTGGACAGGTCTTGAAGATCTTAATGAAACTGAACAATCACGGAGTCCGCAAGAGTATTCGAAGTTCACCCTTGCGTTCCCGATTGAAAATCTCACAGAAAGAATCGTTGCCTAACACATGGCACTGAGTGAATATTTTTCCCGTTCCTGTAGCACTCGTAAATCAGGCTTCAAATGTGTGGTCCAATCGAAAAGAAAAAAACAAAACAACTTATAATGTCTGTAG